CGGGCTCCGGGATCCGCTACGCCGCTCGCGGTTCCCCCACAAACTCCCCGAGAGCGGAGCCTCCGCCGCCCTCCTTCCTGCTTCCTCGTCCCCAGCCAATCAGCAGCGCGCCCCTCGGCCAGCTCCGCCAATCAGCCGTCCCGCCCTGCGCTGGCCCCGCCAGCCAATCCGGCCTTCGGCTCCCCCCTCCCTGTCTCCGGCCAATCAGAACTGTGGGTCGGTCGTCCCAACGCAGGGGGCAGCACGAGGCGGCCGGGGGAGGCGGTGCGGGGAGTGGTGGGGCCTGGGGGGAGGGGTACGGTGCGGAGGGTGGTAGCGGGGGCTGATTTTCTTTGCCAGCTTCTTGGGTTTGCTCTTCGTCTACAGACCCTGAGCCCGTATCCCATGGTGACCCGACTCGGGAGCCCCAATCCCCCAGCTGCTACTCCTCCCACCCCCCGAAAAAAATTATCCGCCCTTGCCCGGGCCGTCACCCTTCTACATCGCTTTCCCATTCTCCTCAGCACCCACAGGAGAAAACTGCGGACCGAGAAACACCCCACCCTCTCCAGCGGCTGTGCCCCCCAGGGTAAACCTTCGGTAAGACCAGCCGAAAATCAAGCGAGGATAAACCCCCCTTTCCTGCTGAAAGGGCCCCAGACTCCAGCGAAAGGGCCCCGACTGCTGAGAAGCCCCTCCCGCCCTTGCCTCATCTTTCCGACTTCCCTGCTTGCCACGTCTCCTTTCCTTTCTAGCAAGGTCGGTCCTGGCTTGGTAACCCCTCACCCGCATCTCTTTCCTCCTCCTACCCCTCACCTTACCGCCTCCGACTCCCGTTCCTAAGGCACCCTTCTCAGGAGCAGTGTATGGAGCCCTCATCCGTTTCCAGCTGACAGCAGAACCTGGTCTGTGAGTCCTTGACACCCACACACCCTCTTCCACCACGGAGGGGAACATCAGAGCTCTCCGGGTGAGGGAGAAGGGGGCGGGCAGCCTGACAGACGGGCCTGGACTCCCTCCCTCGCGTCCCCAAGCTAGGACGGGACCAAGCGTGGACACTTACCTGTTTACCCCTAGTCACCGAATGCTGTGGCTCCATCTCATACCCACAGACGTGCCTTTCCGAAATCCAGCATGCTGGCGGGGTCAGCGGGGTGGGTGGGCACAGCAGGCTGAGGTCATACGGAGGTGTGGGAGGTTCCAGTGAGGTGCTGGAAGGGACTGTGCCTTGGGCACCTTGCATTGCCAGAGTTTCACTTATACGGGGCTTCACTTCAAAAGCTCTTGGCTGTGCACATAGTAGGTTCTTGAGAAATGCTGAGTCCACCCCAGAACAAAGCCTCATTCCTAATTCAGGCGGGGGAGGGGAGCTTTAGGAGGTAAAAAGAACAGCAGCAGAAAGGACAGTGTCAAGTCACCAGATTGCTGGGAGGTGCCCAGGGAGGGGCTGGGCGACGGAACGCCTCCTGTATAGAGAAGCACCCCCAATGCTGGGGCTGCCAAGGCAGAGAGGAGAAACCCCGCCCTGGAATGTGACTGAGGGGTTCTTCCCGCACCACACACGCTGTCTCACCTTTCTTAGACCTTGAAACTCCAGCACTCACGAAGACAGCCTTTAAGATAATCAGGGCTGCTAGCCCCTATGCTGGAAGTAAACCCTAAAAGACGGTTTCCAATATGCCTCTAGATCTATAAAGGGGCCCAGTGTCAGTTGTGTTGGGGGACATGTTTAAAGGAGGGAACCACCCAGCAGAGGAAGTATGTGAATGGAAGCTAAAAGCTAAGACTATGACATGGAAACTTATCAAAGGACCAGGTTCTCCTAGGACAAGTGCCCCTTCTTTTCCCACTCCCGACCCAAGGGAAAGCAAAATCTCCAAACCTATAAAAGTAGAACACTAAAGGATTTCTCCCCTCTGAGCCTCCCAAAACAAAGATTCTTAGCAGTATGCCCTTTACCACCAGGCCAGCCTTCCCCCTTATAAAATGCTCCCTGTCCCTGTCCCAGGCTGTCCCATGGGCAGATGTCCCCCACTTCTCATCAGAGACTGGTGGTAGAGGGTAACAGCAGCAGTGGCTTTTGGAGCTAAGCCATGCCATCCAGGCAGCCTGGAGCCAAGGCTGAAGAGGGGACAGAGCTTCTGTCAGCAGCCCAGCCTGGGCTGACCTTGGCTTCATGCCCGCTAATGGGCAGGTATTGAGGCCAAAAGGGTCAGAAGAGAAATGTACCTAGTCACAGGAAAGGAGACCCAAGTGGTAGGAAGCCTGTGGTTTCAGGGTGAAGTTGAAGGACTGAACTTTTCCCCAGCATCCAGGAGCAAAGATCCAAGGGCCCTGGGATGGGGTGGGGGAAGAGTTGTCTTTGTTTGGGGCCCTGGTGGGAGGGAAACAAGGGAGAGGAGGCAGAGTGGTCATGAGAACCCATTCCAGCCTACCCAGCCTGGCCAGTTGCTGGAGGAATTCTACTTTCAGAGCCTCCTGCAAGTGGATAGCTGTCTCCTTTGCCCCTGGAGGCTCTGAGGGGGCTACGGTTTGAAAATACAGCCTGGCTAAAAGCACTTGGTGCTCCTGTGCCAGCTCACTGGTCTACCCCTGTTCCCTGCTCTGGTCAAAAAGCCAGCAAAGAAGAGGCCAGGGGCTGCACACTCCACTAGTCCCCCAAGGGGCCTTTTGGCCTCTCCTCTCCCACTTCCCAGGACCTTTTCACCTGGGCTTTCCTTCCCAATCCAGAGCCTTTCCACACCTGGAAAGGTCTCCACTTCTTCCTTCAGCTCCTTTAACCTTTCCTGAGTGAGTGCTGCCCCCACCCCACATAACCAAGGTAGTTGTGCTAATGCCTGGAGCCCAGTCACCTTTCCTTACCCCTGCACACCTAGCAGCCCAGAAGCCCCTTACTGAAAAGGGCTTGTCGCTCAGTCTGGAGATCAGGGAATGAATCTATCAAATCACCCCCTCCCTGCCTCCAGGCTGGGGTCTCCCTCTACTCAGGCGCCTCCAGACCCATAGGAAGGGTTAACTTTCTTGGAGCTGGAGAAGAGAGAGGGAGATGCAGAGGAAAACATCCAGGGCTGAGGGAAAACACTCTGCACACCCCTCCCCCACCACGTACGACCAGACAGACAGCCGGGACAGACTGGCTGCTCCGTCATCTCCAGTCCAGCAGCCAGGCACCTCCCTCACACCAGCCGCAGTCCCTGCAGACCGCCCAGCCTCAGTTCCAGCCACCTGGCACCGGGCAGGGCACCCCAGTGGCACAGCGCAGTCCTTGAATTGATGGAAGTAACTACTTTCCCCTTCCTCCCTTCTACACCCTGGTTCCATCTTTCCTGGGAGTGGGGCAGCTGCTCCCCGCCCGGCTAGAGTGCCTGTACTCTAAGTTCCAAGAACACTTACTGAGCCACCTGGCCTCTCAGCCCACCGGACAAACTTAGAAGGCACATGTCCTTGGGGAAGGGACACCAGGGCACCAACTAATAAGGCTGCAGCACTTGCCCCCTCCCCCATCATAGGAAGCCCCTAGGGGTGGGGGCAGAAAGAAAGCCTGGACTTTTTATAGTCCTTTTATCTGACCCACTACTTCTTAAAGGGGTCGGAACCCCCTCCTTAAAGGGATCTCCAGAAATTACACCAAGCAAATGCGAGTGCAGAAGTGTCTGTTTGGTCTTTACCTGCTGGGGCCCCTTTCCCTAGGGATGGGGGAGGCAGAAGTGCTCTCTGAACTGGAAGGGAAAGGACCCCTCCTGCCACCAAGGACCCAGCTGTTGAGTGCCTTGCAGAGAACACGACCTCTCCTCTCCTGTCACCCACTGCTACAAGCCTAGAGAGGAGGTCAAGGTGAGATGGGGCCTGTGCGGGCCCAGTCTCTGCATACGAAGAAACAAGGGGGTCTACACGCACTCACACTTTGGGGAACACACGTCCATGGCGTTGTGTCCAAAACCCCCATCTGTCCAGTGCTAGCCTCCAGATTGCTGGCAGGGGAAGTCTTTGCAGGCTGCCTCTCCTCGAAAAGCTGTTTCTGCATTCTTCTCTCCCAACTCTCCACTCCTACCCTCTTTGGGGCCTCTGGCCTTCCCCTTGGGGTGCCCTCTATTCCCCTTATCCAAGTCGCCTCCACCACAGCCCCAACAACTGCAGAGTACACCCCATTTCAGGCTTTTTCCTGTGGTAGTCGGCTTGTCCCTGGGGTCCATCCCACCCCTCTGCGCCCTCCCCCCAACCAGCCAAGGGGGTGGGGGATGGGCACACCTCGGTTCCCGGGAGCCCAGCAGAGCTGCATCCTCTCCCTCTTGCTTAGTCGGCACCTAGTCTCACCTTGCCCTTGGGGCTGCAGGGTTCCAGGAATGGTAGCCGCGAATGGGGTAGGGGGATGTCCGGGGGCACTCCCGACTTAGAGTGGGGCAGAGTCGGAAACATGCACTCAATGAAGCCGCCCCTTCTGCCCCTCCTCCTTTCGCCCACGGAGGGTCGAGGCTGCCGAGGGAGGGCTTCCCGGGCGCTCGGGAACTCGCCGAGGCCCCCACCCCTGCCACTCCCTAGAGAAGAGGCTCCCCCGAGGACTGGTGCTCCGAGCCCTACCCCCTCCACCCCCTCCGGCAGCTGCAGCAGCCTCCGGCTGAGGTCAGGCCCCACCTCCTTTCTCCGGAGGGAAAGCGCGAGCGTTGTTTGTTGTCGGGGTGTGAGAAGGAGAAGGTTCGAGATCACCTGGCCCGGTGGGCACGGGCTCCAAGGGCGGGGCGCGGGCCGGTGGGCTGGCTCGGCGGGAGCCTACCGCAGAGGGTGTCCACCAGCCTCACCCCGCCCCCACCCCCGCGGGCTCTAGAGAAGCAGCCCT